TTGGGAAGAAATGGAGATGGGAATGGAAGTGAGAAGCGAAGTTGCCAGTTCCTCTCCTCAGCCTTTTCCTTGTCTTGCGTTAGTTTGCCTGGGGCAGCAGATACGCCCACGAGCCGGGAAGTTGCTGAGCGCGTCACGGTACATTACCACAGGAGCCCGTCGTACCTGATTCACGACTAGGGACTCCGTACTTTAGGTAAGGCAGGGAGGTGTTCAGTGGAGCAAGGAGGCTGAAAGCGCTGTGGCTTGAAGTAATATTGTGGCGTTATTCTACCTTAAGCATGGTCCGTGCTGGTCGCGCTGCAACGACCCGAGCTAATAAGCTGTAGCAGCGGCCTAGGCATTGTGTTTTCTAGCAGGGGATTGCACTCCCTCATCTCTTTACATCAACAAATCTCATACCGAAGGGAGCAACCAAGCTCACCACGGCTTCGGCCAGGACGATATACATACTAACCAACAGGGACATTGTAGATGGGAAATTTTCTCTTTTGAAGTTTCGAGACATCGCAGAGAACTGGCCAGTCTTGCAGAACGTTCAAGAGACTGAAGGACATTCGACAAACAACAGAACCAAACTCAAAATCACTATTGACGGCAGCGGTTCACGTCTTTTAAACTCCAGACACCCAGCATGGCCACTCCCGTCAGAACGACTACCATTGGCGGTCCTCCAGTGACCGACAGCCCAGGTACTTGGCGTCACCCACGACTCAACGAGATCGCCAGGCGTCGTAATGCGACGACCTTCTCCGAGAAGAATGTGCGCCAGATCGCCTATAATGTCATTGCGCTGCTAGGATTCTGGTCTGCGCAGCTCTTAGCCAAGCTTAACATTGGCTCTCAAGTGTGAGTTTTCGCGGACGTCTTTTGCGACCGACCAGCCGTTAACTCCAGTCTTTAGTGTTCCTAGCTCTTTTAGGATATACCTGAGCTGGGCATGGTTCATTCTCAACCTCATACCATTTATCAACATTGGCATCGCGTGTCTGCCCTTGATTCGACCGAAAGACGATCTCTCCGATATCCCTCTGACGCCTGCTCAGCGCAAGCTGCTGGGCCTGGACCCCTCCTCAGCCGCCCCGACCCCCGATGCCAAGTTCAGCACGCCTCCTCGATACTCACGCACACCTTCCATAGGTGGCTCTGTTGGAAGCCGAGGAAGCTATGGCAGCTCACCTCTTTCTGGGCGGGGAAGTCCTCTCGTACAGGGAGCGGCTGGCTCACCGTTGGGCAGCCCTCTTTTCCAGAAGAGCGTCAACAGCTTCGGCAATGGAAGAAGATCTTCTTTTGGATCAACGAGCCCATTTGCCGCTAGCTCTTCTGCCAACCTCTTCTCAGATCCTACCTCTCCCGGTTCCGTTGGAGGCAAGCGAACAAGTGTCGGGTTGAACAGCAAGTGGTTATACGAGAAGGGACGGCGACCGTCAGGTAATGCCTGGAACTTGTGATTCAGGGTTGTATAATGAAGGTAGATATTTTGGACAAGCATGTTCGTGATACAGGAAGGGCCCAAGTTTTGTGAGTCTTGCCATTCGGCCGGGAGACACTGTGTTCAATGTGCATGGAATCTGGCCTATTAGAAACCCCATGTTGATATTCTTTTGAAGGTTCGCAGCGGGATTCAGAAAACTCTTCAATAACAAAACTAATGATCTAAATGCACCACCCGACCAGTGATTCAAGAAGATCGCTGCGGAGAAACCAAACCTGGTATTCGATAAGCTCAAAACTGCGTGGTTGTCTCATGTCGACGTGCGTAGGGAGGCAGATATTTTTGAGAACATAGCATTTCTCATACCTCTCCAGCCGCAGTCGACCAGCAGAGGAACTGACAAAGATCCCAGGCCAAATCCATTCAGTGCATTCCAATCTTGACATCAGGACGACCCGTGAAAGCGTGAGCTTCTGACCTGGCCGCGATATCTTCTGCCTCGTCCATCGTGAGCAAAGTCAAATGACTGCGTATTCCATGCTGAACTACAAATTCCATCATCTCTCTAGTCTCATCCATGCTACCATGGCCTGTTCCCTTGACGACAATCTCTCTCAAGATGAGATTCATAGGGTCGAATTTGAGACCATGCTCAGGAAAGCCAGCGGCGACTAATACTCCTCTTGGTTGTCAATAGTCATCACCCTATAGCCTCGAGCCTTTGCGAATTGAATGCCCAAAATCCCAAGGCCACCTATACCGATGATGCCAATGGTCTCGCCCTTTGTTATATCTGCCTGGTTAATGGCATGTTACACAGTTGCCTGAGATTGGTTGTCAGCATAGCACAGGCAATACAACACTTTCAGCTCTGGGAAACACACCCCGACACACATCAAAAAGGCCGCCTGCTCAAAACCTATGCTGCCAGGCAAGGACACCACAGCACCATGCCAGGAAGCCATGTATTCGGCAAAGGCCCCATCACGACGAATGATGCCACACATAGTCATATTATCACAGAAACGTGGATCGAGCGACCCAAGACTCTGCATAGCCCATTTGCATACGTTACAGCCTTGGCAAGGATCTATAAAGTTTGTAACTCCCACACGATCTCCTATATGCCATATCTCAGGTACATCAGAGCCAAGACCGACTATTGTTCCGGCTGGTTCATGAGAGCCGATGAAAGGCAATGATACCTGGGTTATGCCATGATAAACCATGAGATCGGTGTGACAAAAGCCAGCGGCTGCTACACGGATGAGAACTTCATCGGGCTTTGGCTTTGGCACTGGGACATCATGGAGAAGGGTGTAGTTCTTTCGAAACTAAATACGTCAACGAATGCGAAAAGCACACGGTATAGGCAGACAACTTTACCTCAACCAGTCTTGATGCCTTCATCGGCTGAGGTACAGTAACATGGGCCGACATTTTCCCAATATGCTTGGTAAAAAGTAATGGATGACAATGGTTGCAGGAGAATAGTCGTAGGGTTTATTTTGCAGTCAGACGAATTCTCCAGGTTAGGTGCAATCACAGTATGACAGATAAATGAAAGTAGCTTACAATAGAGACAGAAGCGGAGCGGTGCGAATACAACAAAGTAGTGAGACAGCACATTACGTGATTCTCACGCTGACATGTCTTGGCTCTTCTTAATTAAGTCAGTCGCCAGTATTTGTTATTTTGACCAGTTCAATAATTCCCACAACACATCATTCATGAACTCATACTGAGATTTCATTCATTGAACCAAGGATTACCCAGAGCGATCATATGTACGATTATCTAGCCTGTTGCGTGTTTATAACTTGGTCATGAAGCCACTCTTCTCATCCTCAAAGATGTTGGTGAGTGTTCCAATATGAGGCAGAATCTCAACCGCAAATTCGTCGCCGTGCCGGAGCGCATCCTTGGGGGTTCGGCCCATTCCAACACCTGCGGGGGTGCCAGTGACAATGACAGTTCCTGGAGGAAGTGTAGTGCCTTGAGACAGCCAGCTGATAATCTTAGGGACAGAAAAGATGAGGTCACTGAGTGAAGTCAGTGGGGAAGTTCGCATAACTGTGTGTGGTGCTACTTACTCAGTGCCACTCTCCTGATACACTTCGCCGTTCTTTAACCCTCGCATGTGAAGCTTAGTAGGGTCTGTAATAAGAGATTTGAGAACCAGTGTTGGGCCTATAAAGGGAAATTGTTAGCTTAATCAACCATAACCTCAGATGAACTTACCTAATGGACAAGCCCCATCAAAGCTCTTTGAGAAGGACCATTGAGATTGGTTTAGCTGTTGAGTACGGCTGGAAACATCGTTGGCGGCAGTATATCCAAGAACGTAGTCCAAAGCCTCGGCCTCGCTGACGTTCTTAGCCGTCTTACCAATTACCACAGCCAATTCTGCCTCGTAATCACCAGACTCGTCCACCTGGCTCAGCTTGGGAATGGTTCCACGAGCTGGCCAAGGATCCACGATCGTTGTCGCTGGTTTCCTATCTACAGGTCAACTCAAAGCCTAGTCTTGTATTACTGATCAGGCAGACTTACATGAAGATGACTGGGATTGCTGGGGGATCAAGTCCACATTCGGCAGCGTGCTTTCTGTACTAATGGCGAGTCAGATCCTGCGATTTCCAGAAGTAGCTTGACATACATTCAAACCGACACACCGAATAGTACCGATCTCATTTTGGGCAAGAGGGGACAGGACGCGGTCAATGGTTTCGGTAGTACCAGTCGAGGATCCTGGGGATAGGACTGATGAACCTGACCAAACATTGACGGCAACCTCTTGACCCTTGCGTAAGGCAGCACCAACATCAATATCCTTGTCTGCTGGCTGACCGATAAGGATCTTGGAAGGACTAGATCTTGGTACAAAGCGTACGAGACCTACAAGAGTTGTTAGGGTGATGCTTTAACGAACTTAAGATGATCTGCTTACGCTGGAGGGCAGATGAGGCCATAATATCTACTGCGTATGACGTGGTTGGGGAAGTACTTAAGATCAAAACAAATGAAGACAGGAACCAAGAGATCGAGGCCTTGGGCTCTTTATAAATGGCGGACTTAAGCCTAGCAACATTGAATGAACAAGTATTATGGCCGGCTTCGGCATGTTGATTTCCATGTAACAACGTGCGGGAACTGGGGGTCCCGGCGGGGAGACGCCGGACTGCTATCGGTTCGGGTAGAAGCCCCGGAGGGAACTACTGGAAAGTCAAGAACATCCATAACTACATATATATTGTATGCATATACTTACCTATCGACATACTGGCAGGTAGCTAGGCAATTGACAGTTTAGAATTGAACGAAATGGAGTTTTTCTACAAGATATTGAATATAAATAATTAAAACAAACACTCTCTTCTATTTCATCCTCTATATATTTGCTAGTCTCAAGGTAGTATACCTACGTATCAAAAGATGGAACAGGGCAACACAAGCAAACCACCTGCATTTTGATCAGGGAAAGTACTATATTAAGCACTACTGCCATGACTGATATTGGTCAAGGGCCAAAAAAGACATAAACCGGCAAAGACGCAAAAGATAATGCGTGATCCGAGAATCGAACTCGGGACCCTCCCATGGGAGAGGAGGATTTTACCACTAAACTAATCACGCTTCTATTTGTTAACAGATGCGAGAGTTGATAGCCTGTGTAGGAAATGGATGCTGAACTGCATTCTGTGTAACGAGAAATTGCTATCTGCTTACCTATGTTGGAGAGTTGAGACGGAGCAAACAGGTGATTGCGAGCTTCTTATATCAGTCGAAGCTGATAGGATCCGCCCATGACTTGCCTAAGATCGTCTTGTGGGGCAGCAACGAACCTTACTGTATTAGTTTTAACTCTCTTCCGCTACAACGCTGACTTTAGCCCAACATAATCAATATGGATCGAAGCTCAAAGCACCGTGTTTGCATGCAAGTTCGGTATGTAATCTAATCAGTTGCTATACGCAGGAGGGATGAGGGACGGTATAACAGTCCAAGTTTTGGCATACCGGTACTGGATGTTGACACGGCACCAAAGAGGGCAACGGCCAGCTGGGGCTTACGCTGTCCACGTCTGAGAAGTTGATACAATTCCAGTAGATAATATGTCCTGCAGTGGTACAGCCTATGATAGTATAAAGCTGGCCCAGGGTAGAGTTTGGATTCCAAGAGCGAGGCTCGTGTGGTTCTCACGTCAAGGCAAGGAGAGAAAAGTCCTTACGGAGGGGCTTCTATCTAGCCTGAGCCATTACCAAAGTGGACCTTTCTTGTGGACCTCCACTGTTTCTGACGGAGCCCAGCTTGAAGCTTCGGGTACGTACTGGCCATGGCCAACCTGAGCCCCTCCACCAACAGTCGCCCACCTGAGCTGCAACACCTCGCCTCAATATCGTTAGGTATTCTACGTCACTATATTTCTTCTGGTCACATCGCCGCCAATCCACAAAGCTTTCCTCAAGTCACTCACTCTACAAACGCCTTACCATGGCCAGCAAGGTTGACCGCATAGTTGCCCGGCTACAGGCCAAGATCGAAGAGGGCGATTATTACGAAGCTCAACAGCAGACCCGTGTCGCGGCATCTCGTTACATCAAGACTTCCAACTGGCCTGCCGCGATCGATATCCTCTCCAATGTATCCCAAGCTTTGCTGCGCGCGGGGCAGGGTGGTAGTGGAGGAGATCTGTGTGCTATGCTGGTTGACGTCTACAAGCAGGCAGAACTCAAACCTGATGCTACCGCCAAGGGTAGACTATTGACTTGTCTGCGACTATTCGAGGCTGGCGAGCCTACGAGGAAGAAGTTTATCGGTGAAATCATAGTGTAAGTGTTACATCGTTGTCTTGACGAGATATCGCGAACGAGCATACTGACATTATTGGGGAAAGTTGGTCAGCAAAATTTGGCGAATATCCAGCTGGAGATCCTGAGCTTCACCATGTTGCTGGCTCACTATATGCTGAGGAGCACGATACATACGAGGCCGAGAAACATTTGATATTGGGGACCAAGGACTCGCCCGAGATTCTGACAAAGATGGAATATAATTGGTACAAGGAGAGCGAGCCTCATCAAGCGGCTCTCTTCGCCGGCCGCGCAGTTCTCCCATATCTCCTCGTTGGCAATGTTCGTGCTGCCAATACCTGCTACCGCCTCTTCACCAGCTCCCTCTCCAACGATAACCCGAACCTTGGTGTCCAAGACGTATCGAGCTCCGCTGGTGACATCCGCATCTTCCCAAGCCTGCCTCTACTCAACTTTCTTGGCTTTCTCCTTCTTGCTATTCAACGCGGCGCACCCGAACTCTACCGTGCTTTGGTGTCCAAGTATGCCACACAAATCAACGAGGCGGGATCATGGGCCGAGGCGCTTGAGATGGTTGGAGAGATGTACTTCGGCCTGTCCAAGCCTCGACAAAGCAACCCCCTTATGGATATGATGAGCGGTTTCTTTGGCGGTGGTGGTGGCCAACCAGAAAAGCCAAAGCGTAAGCAGGTTACGCAACGGCAAGATGCCCCCGCAGCGGAAGGTCTAGACTAGATGATTTGATCTGTGGGGTTGGATGCTGGTATACCATATTGCCTTGAGAAAAACATAGACAGCAGGCGTTGTAAGGTAAATAAAAGACTGGGCTAACCACGGGGCTGTTCTTCTGGTTCAAACATCCAATTGTCTTCGGCAAGGGCTGCCACTTTGGCTCGTAGACTTGCTCTCACAGCTTCAAGAAGTTCTAATGCGGCGTTAATAAGATGAGAATAACAAAGACAAGCCCATGCCGCACCTTCAGGTTGTTCGGTCATAGCATGACGATGCATCTGGTGATGTTTAACTGCTTCTGCCAGACGTTGTCTTTCCTCTACTCGCATTTTAGCATCGGTAGATCTCTAGTCCTGTGCATGTCTTACTCTCACATTCTTGCCTATGATCTAGGGGCAACTCATCCTCGTCTTCCATCATCGGTGTCGGAGGGTCTCCGAGCTCAATTTCTCCGTGCTTATCGCGAACTACGATCTCAGATGTGTCAGATAAAATATCGACGTCTGAATGCAGTGTTTCGGCAGACGTAGAAGTCGATCCAGCGGTAGGTCGCCGGGTCAACTGGGTTTGGAATAGATTACGACGAACGCCTGCTGAAGGGGCGCCGTTGCGAGAGCGGGGAACCCCCGTGCCATTCGTTGTTATCCGTGTTCGATCTGCCATCGCGAAATCTTCAAGTTTGTTGGCCGTTGTGATATGAAAGAAATGTAACTATCCAAGAAGTTGAAGGTGATAAAAAATTGGTTATGTAAAGTCAGATGTTATGTCACCTTCTGTTGACTTTCTGTGGGGTGTCCCGGGGTGTCTTCGTCTAGTCATCTTAGCTGCTTCAGTCTATCTGGTCAGGGCAATTGCACAAACACGTGTGCCTACCTCCAACAAGCATGTAAAGAGCTCAGTTTCACTCGCACGACTACCTAGTAGGCAATTAATAAGCTCCTCACTTTGGGTATCTGCTCATATTCACGTAGTCTCATGCTTCTGGACACCCGCTGCCTCCAAGCTCAAAAGTCAGGATTGCATTCAACGTGTAATAGCCCCCCTAACTCCGTCCTTACAAACGCTAACTCTGAACCATGCTTATTTCAGAAAAAGGTATATACTCGACATGTACCGATGATAGTCGAGTTGTGTTCAGGTATGTTGTCGCCAGTACTATTTGCCATGTGCTCCTAGATGTGGAACATCAGTAGGGCGACCATGTGCCATTGGTGTAATATGCTGTAAGCTCTGTCTCTTCATCGTACAGCTTGTCTTCATCTCCAAGAATGCAGCCTAACCCATCAATACACCCCAGCATCACCCGAATTCGAAAGTTTATTCCGGTCGATTTGCGGTGTTCCTACAGGGAGAGGTTGTAAGAGTACTCGTCTTCCATGTTCTGGCTGATCCAAAGGACGACGGAGCTGTGCGGAATTAGTGAAAACAATCGATTTCCTGGGATAAGATTCTTCTTACCTAACGCCAACAAGAGCGTTACTGAGCACATTCTCAATTCCCATACCCAGAGCAGGCATAGCGACGCTGGGCACAACAAACTTGAGAACAAAGACGGTGACACCACCAGCCATTCCACCAGCGAGAGCAGCAAAACCTAAGAACAGGACCACGCGAGCCTTCCACGCTACCCCATTTCCGCTGTAGCTGAAGGAATCGGCGCTTAGGCGTTGCTTTTCGACTGAATTGATGATAAGCATGCCCAAGCTAGAGAAAATAAAGGGCAGCCAGTCAACAAACTTGACATGGATATCGGAGCCGTTGCGTGATGACTTGGACCAAACTGCGGAATCGAGCATGATGTAAAAGGCGATGGAGAACTAAAGCGCACCAGGTGGTGAGTACCAAAACTATTGACAAAGCGGGCGCATGAAGTCGCGCATGATGCATTGAGAGAGCCATGCAACGAAGAAGAAACGCCAAATACTCAAGCAGGGGACACTTTTATAGGTTCAACGTACAATAGCTCCGGCGCTGTAGACACCAGCATTTCGGGCCCAAACCGTGTTAAGCCATTCAGGCCGTCGAAATTTCCAAAGGCGCTCTTCCTCCATGGCTACAGATTATGTGCGTTGCGAAAGGCTTGATTCTTGTAGTGCAGGTGTCTGATGTTGCAGGATCGCTGATAGTTGGCGAATGATAGTGTTGACGATGCTTGGGACTGGAGGCTGACAATGACGAGGCTCACGCGTGGACGGGACCGGCCTTGCTTTAGCGCCGATGGAGATCACGTGATGTGTCTCTGCTCGTTGACCAGACCCACACAACCTGGAAGTGCGACTTCGTGAAGTGGGTCGTGGCCGTGGAGACATTCGCGTGGCTGGGTGCCATGAACTGCAAAACACAAGAATCCACTCGCGGAGACGCAAAAGATCCCCGTTGTAGAGAGCCATGTCACATTGATTACCCCGCTGGTCGGTGCGATGCTCACTCCGCTCACGCAGGACCCTGAAAACAATGGAGTTGAGCTGCGGATAGTGACGAGTATCACCTTGGGTTATGTACACAGGGTCTTGTAAGCTCCAATTTGGCTTCGTACATTCAGGGCATATGTAAGGGACCGAACTATGGTGTTGTGGCGCACATGATATTGATCAAAGCCAAACTCTATTCAAACAAATATTGTAGGGAGCAGCATTCTCGCCGTTGAAGCATTTTACTTTGTATGCCGTTTCAACCGTGTCCCAACGGTTCGGATACAGCATCTCTATCTTCAAGATAACGCATCAAGAAAGGGTAGCGACAGGAAGCCACTTTAACGATGCCCAACCGTCGCGGATCGGGCATACAACTAAGTATTCGTCAAATGTAACAGGGTATTGACAATCAATCGTGCCTGTTACGTTCATAGCCGGACAACAAGAGATGCTGGGTACCTATCATGTATTTACTTGAATGTACATACCATGCTTTGGAGCAACCATTAGACTAGGCTCTCAGGCACAACACCAAGAGCCATCGAGGTTCGTTGGCCAAAAAAGCCAGCCGCTGGGGATTCAAAGCTGACCACCATACCAGCGTGGCGGCGAGCTGTGTCTGACAAGTTTCACTAAATGAATCTAAAGTGTTAATAGCCGCTGGACACTCAAAACA